ACCTCTGGCCAACTATCAGACATAGTAGTGGTAAGTAGCTCTATCCCGGAGTCCCCTCCCCTTGAAAAACTCGATTCCTGGCTCGCCATAGTTCTTGCACGTCTCGATGCTTTGGCAGGCGCTGTCCTCTATCTGTCTGCGTTTCTTGATTTCGCAACAGGACCATGCACAAAAGTTCAATATGTCACGTAACCCATATACAACATGACCATACACGTAGTGCAGAAACGGACCACCAGTAGCTCGGCTGGACAAAAACTTGAGCATTTGAGCAGTTGTTCTGACTAGAGCCAAGGGGGGGGGGTCAATCCGCCGACTTTACTGCTCTCATGAAATTACCGGAATGCCATCAACAGAGCGCTCCCAACCAGAGAATTTTATTTTCTGATTCAGATGCGATGGTGGTTGGCCAATCGAAGCTTGGCGATATTTCGCAGACGAAGGTGTTGTGACGGGTGGAAATTATGGCTCTAAGGTAGCGCTCAGGGTTATGCTTCAGAAAGATTCTGTAGTAGTTTTTATCTTAGGGTTGTTGCCGCCCTTACGAAATTCACCCATGTGGACATCATGGGAAAGAGCCATACTACGGAGAATGCGACGATATGGCGGACACTCCACGATGCAAGAGAAGATGCCAACCCGGTTACAAAAAGTCGTACAAGATGGATAAGTACTACGGTATGTGAACAACTCGCGAATCATGGTGGAAACCATCGCTAAAAGGCGCACTCCCGGGAGGGATCTCACATCAGACAGATGTGGGAGCCATATGATGCATAATGAAATTTGCTGGTGTTGCCCAGAAAAGAAATTGGGGAGCAAAATTGAGCATTTTTGTAGGCATTCTTGACCTCGAGCCCAATGGCCTGTTCCACGTTTCCTTCCGCTACGGCAAATTGAACTTTCAGGCAAAAAAGCTTATCGACTGCCAAATTCGGTGAAGGCCATTCAGAGAGAGATCATGACGAACGGACCTGTTGTCGCTGCATTCACTGTTTACGAAGACTTTTCGTACTACACGAAAGGAATCTATCAGGTAATGATTTTAGAAAAAGCCAGTTTCTTGTAGAAACTTAAAATCTCAGCTGTATGTATACCTAACTTCTGAGATGCGGTGGACGTAACTGCGTAACTTCAGATGAACGAGGGTTTCTGACTGGATATTTTCACTTTCATAACTGCTTTGAACTGAAATTCCACGATAAACTCATCATAAGCCACATTCCGAATTACGCAGACTTGCCGACCGCATCTCAGAGACTGTCTCTCAAATTCTTGCCTGTTGAATGAGTTCTTCCAGAAATATTGCCCAGTTTTTACAAAATTTGTTTACAGCACAAGGCTGGTAAACAGGAAGGTGGCCATGCTGTGAAGATTATCGGGTGGGGAAAGGAAGGTGATGTACCCTACTGGATCATTGCCAACTCGTGGCACGACGACTGGGGAGAGGACGGTGAGCCTTTCTGAATGGTCCTGAAATGAGCGGGTCCGTGGGGTTCGAAGAGCTTCGGGCTCGACTAATTCTTAGATTGATTTGCAAATTAAGTTTAACGAGGGTGATAAATGCATGCTATTATAGCCGATCATTTTCAGGATATTTCCGATTCATTCGTGGAATCAACAACTGTGGAATTGAAGAAGAGGTGGTCGCCGGATTAGTCCAAGGACAATAGTGAACAAGCGCTTCTTAAATGAACAAAGGCTAAATAAAGATGACCTTTATGTGGCGCAATAGTGATGTTCCTGAAAAAGTTCCCACTCAAATTTCACCGAGAAGAGCAAGAAATAGGAAAGATGCTGTGACTTGCGCTCGTTTAAAGAACACATTGGTACCTCAAACCCTTGAAGGGTGTATGAGCACTATCAGCCCCCCAGCTTGTCAAGCTGTCGCTTTGGTCCCCCCGCCCAACATGGCCAGCGAATGGGAGCGTACAGGACCGTGAAACACGCTAATTCCTCCATGCTCCGCCTTACTGCCTTTTTACGGCGCAGATTCCCGCCGTTCATAACATCCGTTGCAAGCGCGCCTGTCGCGTGCGGCTCCTTGGCACTTTGCCAAGTCCTTTAATTGCGCTCTCAAATACAAGTAAAACGCAATTTCCTGATGCGGATAACATTGGAGGTGCTACAAAATAAGAACAGAAGATGATGACGAGGGCCAGAACTCAAGAGCAACTCGGCTGCATCTGCAGTATCCATCAGGGCCGCGCATTCCCACAAAACATGAAAATAAAAACAGCCCAAGCGTCCCACTCGTTTGTTCTAAGTATTTCTATGGCTTTGGCGCCGGATTCGCGCCGGATCGTAGAAATTTACAGGCGATTTTAACTAATTTGCCTTTCCTTGATTTTTTCATTTTTGTTTTATTTACATTTACATCGTTGTGCTTCATTTCTAGCCTGTGTCATCTTCATCTCCTTGTACATGGATTTTGAAGCATGAGCAACACCTAAATTTTATTCGCATCAGGAAATTGCGTTTTGCTTGTATTAAACTAACGAGTATGCCGTTTTTATTTTCATGTTTCGTGGAAATACGCGGGATGTTGCAGAAGTGGCACAGTTGCTTTTAAGTTCTGACCCTCGTCATCATCTTCTGTTCTTATTTTGCAGCACCTCCAATGTTATCCGCATCAGGAAATTGCGTTTTACTTGTATTTGAAAGCGCAATTAAAGGACTTGGCAAAGTGCCAAGGAGCCGCACGCGACACGCGCGCTTACGACGGATGTTATGAAGGACGGGAATCTGCGCCGCAAAAAGGTGTAAGGCGGAGCATGGAGGCGTGTTTCACGGTCCTGTATCTCCATTCCTGGGCATGTTTGGGCGGGGGGACCACGACACATCGACAGCTGGGGGGCTGATAGTCTCATACACCCTCAATGTGTGTGAGCGTACTATGTGTCTTTAATTGAACTCGGCATTTAACAAGGCGCACTTTTAGTTGGCACTAGATGTGATGAAAGGGAATAATTGAGAATCGGCTATCATCCAGGCCATTAAGTATAACAGTATCGGTATAACAGGCTCTTTCAAGAGAAATATCTAACTGCTCTGTCGTCCTCAAGTCACGTTATAGGTGAATTCGCACTGCAAATCCACTGCGCCTTCGGATGGAAGCGGAATGCGAGGCATTCCAAGAAAAGATTTAGTGCCTAATACTCTTACCCTTTTTATCTTTGTTTTATTTGGCTACCAGAAGTCCACCACAATGCTCACCCCATTGTGTCTCGGACAACTCATTGGTGCAAAATGATAGAAAACCTCGCCAGAAAACACGGTCACCCAATTCCAACTTTACTAGGAGAAGCTCTCCACTTCTGGTGAATTTGGCAGACTCTCGAACGGCGAGCCCTACCCTTGTCATGCCAAGAAGAGCTACTCTCAGCACTTCATGCTACTGGATTCTCTAAAGAAGTTGCCTGTCCCCTTTGTTCGATTTCATTACTGCCAACAACAATATGATTAATAGACACTCAATCCAGTCTGTAACTGTAAGACCGCAGACTGCAAAGAGATTCACGTCCATTGAGATTCTTGAACTATCGCTTCCAGGCAGCAATTCAGCGCCGAATTCGCCACTCTGATCATTTCGCCTTGCCCGCTCTCAAAGCTATTTTAGTCCTACACACAAGCTCCTTATCACTAGTTGTTCAAATTGAATTTGACTTAAAGAACCGCAAGAATAAACTACACTGAGTGCGCTTTCAACTGCTCAATTTGCGGTGCTAAGGGAAAAGCTTATTAGGCCGAAGATGCGATGCAGACTCCACCAATTCCATGTCTCGCTTTCAGGAATAATGTCTATACCAGCAACACCAGGGAGATCGGCTAATCGAGAAATCAAAATGGAGCATTTGGGGCTTGGTCTACGAATGCTGGTGAAGTCTGCTCCTCCACGTGCTGCCACTGGGAACTGCTCGCTTCTGCGAGCTGAGCTAATCGCGGACATGCGACGCAGGTGACAGGCCTTCGTGACGGCCGACCTACGAACACCCAAGTCACATCACTTATTTTGACTATGCCACAACTTTTCCGAATCAATGCTACGGCGTCCGCGGGAGCCGACGCGCACTCGCAAGGCCCGGCGAGTGTGAAAAGTATGCGAGGTCCTCGATGCAAGGACGGCATCGGGGGGGGGAACTAAGCTAATTCAAACGTCCACAGCGCATGGAAAGTTCGCATTGCAACGTTAAATGTGGGGACGTTGACGTTTACGCGAATTGGCAGAGGCACTGGAGCGCAGACGAATCGATCTCTGTGCAGTGCAGGAAACAAGATGGTCCAGTTGCAAGTCGAGAGACATTGGTCGCGGCTTCAAAGCCATTCTTTGCGGCAAGCCAAGGACCACCAACGGTGTGGCCGTAATCGTCTCACGACGTTTCCGTGACTCGATAGCTAGCGTGGAACGTTTCGACGACCGCTTGATGAAGATTGTTCTTGCTGTCGAGCAGCGACTGTACCACTTCTTTTCAGATAGATTTTGTTCTTGTCAGGCATCGCGATGAGGGCTTGTCACTGACGCGAAAGTCGTGCTGTAGACAGAGACAGCTGCCACGCAACATCGTCCCGTTGATCTGCACGCTGAAGATCCCGCCGCCTAGGTCGAAACAGGTCGAGCGATGTGCTTCCGAGGAGAATTGAGTGGTGGCATTTGGAAGGAAAGGAGGCAGCTGTGATCGCTCGTATTCGGTTGCCTGCCGTCACAACTGTCGACGAAACCTGGAAAAATGCTGCTGAAGCCATATATAGCTCACGCCGCTCGCTCCGAACTTGGCACAAGGAAGCCTGGAAGACGTAGAATTGACAAGCAGGCATGGTTGTGGACAGACGACGTCAGACCAAAGGTTCACGAGAAGAAGAGGCGCTATCACTCGTTTTTCGGAGACAAGTCCCCTGACAACAGGCGAAGATACCAGGAAGCCAAGTGTGCAGCAAAGAAGACTGGCTTCTGCGAAAGCCGCTCATTTCAAAGACGTCAGTAAGAAGCTGGAACGGCACATCTGCCGACTTGCCAAAGCTTGTCACCACCAGAACGAAGATGTAGAGACGGAAGGGCCGTCTTCTGATGGACCGAAAGAAGGTGCTGAGGCGATGGCGCGACTACTTTGAGAAAATCTCTACAGTAGAATATACACACACCGGCCATACTCATGCCTCACCAATACATTGTCCCGTTTAGAAGATGAGCGGCTCTTAGGAAGATGGAGCCAGGCAAGGCAACAGGCCCTGACGTGGCGACAGAAGTGGGGAAGTCACACTGCTGGTATTCTGCTGAATGGTTAACGAAGTTCTTCAATCAGGTCGTTGCAGAGAAGAAGATGCCCGAAGGGTGGCAAGAAAGCACAACGGTTCCGATCTGGAAGAAGAAGGGCAGTCCTGCAGACTGCTCAAATTATCGTCCAATTCGCCTTCTCTCGCACACCATGAAAATTTTTGAGCGAATTGTTGACAGTCGTATCCGTGATATCGTCCAGCTCTCTACCAACCCGTTGCTTCGTGACCGGCTGTGGCACCATCGACGCCATACAGTCCTCATCATTACGTACTGTCGGGGCGGTTCAGTGCGGCTGCGTTTGGCGCGGTGCCAAACCCGCTCTCCACCAGTATTTAAAGCGAGCAAATGATATGACTGTATTATATCCTCCGTATTACTCGTTTTCTACCACTTTTTGTCGCATACGCGTTTCAACAAAAAGGCGGAGAATGGATTCAA